CATGAACAATAGATTTGCTATGCCGCCCCACTATATGTGATGTTGCCAAATCCGCTGAGACAAGTGACCCAGGAAGTTTATTTCATTCCCAAACTTTTACATTAATTTTGTAATTTACTCTTACTGATTAGCAAACGAGTGTAAACAAAGATCTATTGGATTTAAGCAAATGGTGGCTTTGTTGGCTTTCCTTCGTCGAAATACCCTACTGTTTACCAATGTTTTGTATACCTGGATTGTCGATATGCATGTTGAGCTGTACACCTGCATTGTTTATATACATGCTGAATCGACTGATCATGTGACAAAACTGTTTTTCCTAAGGTAGAGTCTACCTCTCTGAATATAACTTTAATGATGAGGGTCACATTTCCTTGTCAGATTCATAAAGTTGTTCCCTGTAAGTTTGAGTCGAATAATTAAGCTTTGTTGAGTCGGTAAAAATTTGAGGCCATTCTGTGGGCTCAGTGTATCATTGTTTCAAGCTTTTGTTGCTGGGAGTGAGAACCTTTTGTTGCTGGGAGTGAGAACCTTTTGTTGCTGGGAGTGAGAACGTTTTGTTGTGGGGAGCGAGACAAAGTTGTAATTCCGGAGTAGTGTTTATGGGGCGTAAGAGGCAGTAGCAGGTGGGGTGGATACGATCCCTGAGGCTGGACAACTACCGGGGCCATCTAGAACGCTGCCGCTTTTTGTTTTTCCTCCTCACGGGCTGTTCCTCCTCCTCCTCGTCGTCGTAGTCCTCCTCCTCCTCTTCCTCGTCTCTACTCGAGCTCTGGCAATTGTGACAAAAGGAAGAATATGAATCAACGGCAAGAAGGTCAAGAGGGGAAGGAGTGACGGAGTGTGTGGTGGAGGGAGAGTTGCGTGGTACTGAAGGACATGTACAAAATAACAATGAGTAGAACATTATGTATATACGAGTCACCTGCCTGGTATTACTTCCTTTATTTATCACATGGGTGGAGAGTAACTAGTACGGAGAGAAAAATATCCACTCCAACACAGCAGCAATCTGAAACCCAAGTTCTATATATGCTGAACCTTGATCAATTTAAGCAGTTCGGTAACCGGTGTGTGAAATAGACGTTGGTTGAAACAAATACATGTACAGGGCGTCCATAGATTAGCTTATCCATTTTCAAATTTAACAGCCTCAGAATTTTTTTTATAACACGCTGGTTTTATTATTTTACTTGATAAAAACAAACCATAAGTCATATTTTCCTCGGTTCATCAAGTATAATAAAACCAGCTTGTTCAATCTATAATGTTTTTCAAGTTATTAAATTAAAATTGGGTCAGATAAACTATGGCCACCTTGAATGTCTCCCCATGTTTGTGTGGAGGGTTGGAGGTGTGATGACTATTCATATACAGATCTATTCTCTTATATACCACTAAGTCCACCACTGCCCTACCACAGTGAGCGTAAAATATACTGAGTGAGGAAGTTATCAAAGTCTGGGGAACATAATAGTGAGGTGACTTCATAGGAGACTCATTAACACAGCCAGTAGCAAGGTGAGGCAGGACTCTGGAGTAGAGATTTGTATGGTTTAAACATCTAACGAATTGGAGATGATGGCTGAGGAAGTAAAAGAAAGAAAAAGACTCGAGTTTATACTATTATAAGGACCTTCAGTAGAAAAAACACTACCTACCGTATACATGAGGGGAGTTGGCGGGTCACAGAGGGTGCAGGGGCCGCCACACACACATCTACGACACTTCAGGTACTCTGCCTCACGTCCTTCCTCTACTCTCAGCGCCAGCAGTTGTTGGAAAATCCTCCGGTGGTACTTCCTTGACAGCTTGAGGTTTTGTAGGGAGAACACGGAGCCGTCAGTCTGTGGGGATGAACAGTTACATGAGTACCCCGCATACACACACATCACATATTATGTATATACTGTATTTGTCGCCATCCTGAAGTACATTCATGGTACACAAGACTACTTAAGACAATACAATAACATTCAGATGAAAAACAGAAGTGATATTTGAGATGTAGGTGTGTACCAAGGTCACCCTGGAACAGGTTTGGAGAGAGAGGACAAGAATGTGGATACGGGAGGAGGGAAGACTGTGGGAGGTGGGATACGGTCGAACAACACTGTGGGGAAACCCGAACGCTCGCACGACGCGAGAAAACCTTCCTAATATGACGTCACTGGCGTCATTGGGCTGGATCACCTGGAGAAACTCCATCCCAGCATATTTCATCTAAAGATTAACCACCTTAACGCTATAGAAGGGGGAGGGGTGAGGTTAGGTTAGGTTAAGTTGAGTTAGAATAGGTTAGGTGAGGTTAGTTTAGAGTAGGTTAGATTAATATTTATGTGAACCAGTCGGCTCCAACAACGCTCGGAGTTGGGATGAATAGCAGTGCAGCCAGTAGCTTGTGTGTGCTGTCACCATGTTTCCATGACAACCTTTGGAAATTTTAACATCATTGGTCCAAGCAGTTTATTGACCAAATCTTCCTTAATTCTTGAGATACAAACAAAACTTGTACCAAATTGAAGCCCAGAACAAAGCTTCTTATCATCACACTGTTTTTCTTCTTTTATTATTACCTCATTTGCATATCAGGCACATTCATGAACATATTAATTTTTAATGAAAAATATTGATATTTCAGTTACACAATGAATAAGACACAAAAGCAGTTCTTTACTACTTTTTTTATTATCATACTCGCCATTTATCATCTTACTAGCCGTTTGGGCGCTCTCTCCAGTGTTAGTACAGGAGGAAACCGGGGACCGGGAAACCTGTGGTGTTTGGTAGTGAGGGTCACACTGGATAACACCCTTCTCACATGTGTCCGGGCCGAGGCTCGAACCCTTGACACATTAGTGAGAGTTATACGCGTTACCGCCAATAGCAACACTGTTTTCAAGAATTATATATTTCATATGATATAAAAGAGAGCTTTTCCCTTGGGAGCTCAAGATTTCTGACGTCTGCATACAAAACAATACATTAGGCATATCTTCCTTAATAGCTGGGATAGAAAAAACAAATCTAGTATCAACTTAAAGCCCGTGCACAGCTTGTCATTACAGTTATAAAATCTTATAATCACCTCATTTGCATATTATGCAAATTCGTGAAAACATTTTATTTTTCCGAGAAATATCAATGTTTAATTAAACAATAAACACAACACAATGGAAAAGGTCAGTATTATTTTTATGGGTCTGCAACAGTCCCTCATAGTGTGCAACACAAATTGGAAAGAAAACTGTCCATCCATCCAGTGCACTACCAAATGCTGATGATGGTTTCTGAGCATAAAGGAGGCATGTGAGTGCCTCTAGCCTGCTCATCAACTCTGGTGAGAGGTCCCATTCCTAACCCAACTCAATGAATGTTTGTTTATGTCTATATCTTCAGAGAATTTACATGCAAAACCGCTGACAGTATCCCATCTTGTATATGCATACAAGACAACGAGAGTCCTACAAATGTCGATGTCAAGTTTGGCAACAACTTTCCTGATGTCAACAATCCTTGTCCAAGTTATAGTACCACATTTCTGAAACAATGAGGCACCTATCTTGTCATGGAATGCCAGAGACATGATGAAGACATATGTACCTTCTGAGCATATCACTACAGCCTGATAGCCCTCTCTAGCAGCATGGTCAGCATGGAGAAGTAGACGTCCACCAGCTTCTTCCTGGTTGCTATCGGCAGGGAACATGCCAGGGAACTACTTGGAGCCCATTAAAAGTAGTATAGAACCATTTTTTGTGTGTCTTATTATCCTCACTCCCTGTGCTGCGATTCTGTAGTATTTTTCCTTCAGAGTCACGTATAGCATCTTCCGTTGTGGCTTTTCTCGGTGCTCTACCTTGCTCCCTTCACTGACTAGGTAGGTAATGAGGCTGGTTTTGTCGCTGACTTGTGAGCAATTTTCTCCACTGCCTCACTATCTGTGTGCCTGTGATGCCCTGTACCTGGTGCCCAGTCTCATATTACCATACTGACCTCACTGTTCTTGAAAAGAGTTTTATTGGTATCTGTCAAATACATCTTCCTCTTACTTAGACTTCCTTCCCTCAGGGCCATAGACAAAACTGTAGTGGTAACATCTGTAAAAGATGCTTGATCACATTTTACTCTCTGGACTAGATTGATTCCATCAACCACTGTAGTAAAGTTTCCTGGGAGTTGCTATATATCCTTGACATTCTTTTGCAAAGTTCTGGGTAGAATTGCCTTGTTTATCTTCCTCAATAATCCATCTGGTGTGGACAGAGCCCAGGGTAGTGGTCCAAGTGGATAAGAGAGTACATTATATCCTCCATCTTGTGACTATGCCCTTCTGCTCTCACTGTGATACGATCAAAGTGACCTCTCTGCTTTTAAAAGGATTGCCAGTCCACTGGATTTCACTTCCTTCTTCTTACACATATTGCTGAATGTCTTTAGTTTGTTAGTTTTCATTGGGTCATGGAATTCTTTCGCTGGTGGGCCCTTCTCTAGCTTGTCTTCCCTAAATCTTGTATAGTTTTACTCATCATCTTATATGCCTTTATCAGATCAGAGGTAATGTTCTCGGGGGCTGCTTTTGCAGTGGGTATGCTAATGAGGTCCAACTTCTCAACAAATTGGTTGACCCAGCCCTGGATAAGGGAAACAGCTGCTGATACTGCTTCCTCATCTTTTTGTATTCTTGGCTGTTGTAGCTCTACATGGCGAGGTTCTGATTTGTTGCCTTTCACAATGTCTCTTAGCTGTCCCAGAAGTGCACTGCGGTGCTCAGCTGTTGTATAGTACCTTTGATAGCCCCTGACTAATCCCTCATCTGAATAACCTGTAATATGAACTGCATCAGGAAACAGACACTTTGATGGCCTGAAATTTCAGTGGTAAAAACACCAAACCATTAGTAATTCATGCTGAAGTAGAGAAAACAATCTTCATGTTATATTATCAGAAGTGAGTTGAGCAGAGGATAAAACAAATGAAGCAAGCCTTTCTGTTTCAATCGATATGCATGAATATACAAATGAGACTAAATGAATTGAGTAGATCATTTGTGGGTTGAAAAACATCACAAGGAATAGTTTCATATCCTGGGGAATCATACCAGATTTTTTCTTATACTATATATTGTATAATTTCAGGTTAATGCCAGTTCCGAGAAAAATATTATGTTTTCATGAATATTGATGCGCATACACTTAAGATAATTACCAAAAACTTATTGGATGATAAAGACTCACAAATGAGCCTCATTTTAATAGTTGTTTTAGTCATATATCCCAGCTATTAAGGAAGATATTCCTGATATACTGTTTTGTATGCAGATGTCCGAAATCTTCAGCTTCAAGAGAAAAACTCTCTTTTATGTAATATGAATGACATATTTTTTTTAAAACAGTGTTGCTAATGGCAGGGAACATGCCAGGGAACTGCTTGGAGCTCATTAAAAGTAGTATAAAACCGTTTTTGTGTCTTATTATCACAACCCTGCATCTCGTCCAAGCTTACTCCAAAAGATACTTCTGGACAGCAGTGATATTGCTATTGCTAGCTTTTTTGGGTAGACATCATTAAATACTCTTTAGGTGTTCCCAAATACTCAGTCATGGCTGAAGAATATAACACTGGGGGAAAGGGGAGGTCAGCATAAGCACCACTGATTTCCACCTAACAATAGGAAAGGATACACAAACCTTAAGCCACATGGCTGGGAAAGAGAAAAGAGAGGCAAACAGACATCTACCTTCAATCAAGCTCTGGAGAAGACAGAGGTATACAGCCTGGGTCAGCAGGGCTGGTGGTCCAGGCCAGCTCAGTAAACACCGCCCATCTGCGCACGCGCAAATGAACGGCATTTAATTCACAAAGCTTACATATACTACTACAAGGTTTGAGGCAAGGTTTCAAATGGGAGAAGGATGGGAAAATTAATGGTAGCACAGTGAGGGGACAACAATTTATGAAGTAAACTAAACAGTATCACCATGAAAACACAAGCGTAACAACAATTGGTTACCTAGCAACCCATGCAGCCACACCCACACCCCTGGATGGGTCATGACCACACCATTTTCTGGTGTGGTGAGGTGATGCAATACCAGCACCTCGTGGCCATGCAATACCGTGAAAGGACATAGGAAAAAATTCACAGTATGGATATGGAGAAAGCATGGCTCATAGATATTATATAAATATAAAGCACATTCCTATGACATTATTCATTGTGTAGCTGAAAAATTATCAATATTTTTCATTAAAAATTAATATGTTCATGAATGTGCCTAATATGCAAATGAGGTAATAATAAAAGAAGAAAAACAGTGTGATGATAAGAAGCTTTGTCTGGGCTTCAATTTGGTACAAGTTTTGTTTGTATCTCAAGAATTAAGGAAGATTTGGTCAATAAACTGCTTGGACCAATGATGTTAAAATTTCCAAAGGTTGTCATGGAAACATGGTGACAGCACACACAAGCTACTGGCTGCACTCTCACACCTTTTCCAACTCTAGACATATGTAACTTCCCAAAATCACTGAGAATTATTCCCCTTCGGTGGTACAGTTGCGGAAATGTGTTCCTACCCCCTTGTGGTAACCAGTGTCTCCAAACGGCAGTAGTAGTATCACTATTTATGAATGAATGGGTATTGGTAGTGTAACGACGAACGTGATTGGTGGATAGGTTTGCTAAAGGTCATAATAGGTTGGCCATTTGGACGCACGGGATACCACAGGGGGTGAAGGGACACATCTCACCATCCAGCCCTACTGGCTAATGGCCTTAAGGGAAACACAGTCATTACAACCTGACCGAGCAACCTCAAGAGCTGCCATTAGGTAACCAAGGCTAACCCACCCAATGTGAGATGATAATGCCGATGATGGTAGTGGTGAAGGTAGTGGTAGTGATGATGATGATGGTAGTGGTGGTGATGATGGTAATCATGGTGATGATGGTAATCATGGTGATGATGATAATCATGGTGATGATGGTGGTAGTGGTGGTGATGATGGTGGTAGTGGTGGTGATGATGGTGGTAGTGGTGGTGATGATGATGGTGGTAGTGGTGGTGATGATGGTGGTGGTGGTGATGAAGATAATGTTGATGGTGATGGTGATGATGACGGTAGTAGTGGTAACGATAATGATGATGGTGATAGTGGTGATGATGACGGTGGTGAAGATGATGATGGTGGCAGTGGTGATGATGATGATTGTGGCAGTGGTGATGATGATGGTGGTGGTAGTGGTGGTGGTGATAATGATGATATACTAAAGTAGTTAATGAATGGTAGTCTGGGAAAATATTAATGGCATATATTATCAGAATTTTACGTCACTCCTCTGGAATAATTCCGAGTTTTCTATTAAGACAACTCTTACATCATACGCCTAATAAATAAATACAAATTATTTTCTAAGATATTTTTATTACTTTCCTTATCTAAACTATTGTGTATTACGAAATGTACTGAGAGACATTCTGTGAGATTCTACTTAATATATTTCTCCAAGTACAGAAAGATATACATTATAATTTGCAACATGTATGTATATTATAAGCAGAATAACTATAATAAAATTCATTATACCTATGATGTACCATATTTGTTTACATACAGTATAATGATCACAGGAGAAAACGTATAGTGTTGTGGCGGTACTGATGGTCGGGACTCCCCGTCAACATCCGGAGTACGCCTTGTATCTATTCTACAGTGACAGTTTACACCACTTAAATTTTCACTCTTATTTTCCTAGAAGTATTGTAACACATATGCGCCGCCGCCATCATCACTACCACCAACACACCATCGCCACCATGATCTCCACCATCCCCGCCACGGTCACTTGCACCACGTTATAAACAACTACAACACGATGACATTCAATACTTCAAAGAGACATAGACCATCTCCCGGGCTGTGAGTGAGGTAGTATTGTACTGTACAAGTCTGTGAGGTTTACGAAAGATAAAGAAAGAAAAACAAAAAATAGTCAAGGTTTTACACTAAAAAGTAGTCTACTGCGGCAACCCTACACGGATACAAGTCGTGACGTCATCATCTATCAACGGAGGAAAATTTTGCGTCAAATGTATACGAGTCATGAGGCGTCTGTGTCTATGACGACGTCTGTGGTTGTTTTAGCTATTACTGAGGGACTGAGATAGGGCGACGAGATATAAACGTGGATAAATGGAGGAAGAGACGATGATGATGATGATATACACTGCCCTTCATTCTTGGACTACCCTTGATGAGTCGAGGTGAGAGAGGGGGAGGATGATAAACTTTGCCTAAAACTCGCACTGTATACTGTCCGATAATAAGAACACACTGCCAACTTCTCTCAATTACTCAACGGTATGGAAACTAATTTTCATAATATTTTCACACCAAGAATCCTCTAAGCACCAGTAAATTATCACTCCACGACCATGAAGTGCCTGAAGTGGTCAACAGGGAGGGAGAAACAGGTGGTAGAAGGACGTATACCTGAAAACACCGGAAACACCCCGGACAATCCCACCCCCCCCCCTCACCCACACCACCTCAATATAACAACCCAAATAATTTTTCTCGTTAACAAACAAACAAAAACAAACACAAACACATCTAAGATCGTTTTGTGAAAGGGTTAAAATATTTTCTTATGTAATATAATGAAACGAAATCTACCAAAGTGACCTTGGGGGGTTAGTGACGCATTTACCTCAGACGCAAAAGTAACGTGTTGTACTGAACTAGGGGAACGTCTGTGTTGAAATGGGATTTTCCCGGTGTTCCCTGAGATACATACAGACAGACAGACAGAGACAGACAGACAGACAGACAGACAGACAGACAGACAGAGACAGACAGACAGACAGACAGTAGTGGGATCACCTGAAGATTAGCCTCCTAGTTTATTTCACCTGATGATTAAACACCCTAACACTACCGGGGGGAGGGGGGGTTCAGTTAGGTTAATGTAGGTCAGGTCAAGTTAGCATTAGGTTAGATTTGGCTCGGTTCGGTTCCCACTTAGGTTGGTGTTGGGTTAGAATAGGATAGCGTTATGGTGGTTAATCCTAAGGTGAAATAAGCTACTCCCTCAGCTTAGAATTAACCACCATAACGGTACTTTTGAGGTTGGTCACACTGTTATATATATATGACAAGTGGGGCCCTCACCTCTATGGCCAGGTCCGTGCAGGTGTTACCAATGGGCGTGGTGATGAAGTTCCTGATAGTTCTCTTCCCTCTCACCTTCCTCTTACGGGCGTGGGACAGCAGGTAAGCCGTGTGACCATCCACTCCTGTAAACAGTTATCGTAACTTGTTATAATCTGAATATAACAAACACTTCATACACACACACACCTACTCACCAAACACACACCTGTCACTCCAACCCCCACGCACACATCTACCCCTTTACCCTCACGCACACACCTGCCTCTCCACCCCCACGCACACCTACCCATCCACCCTCACGCACACACCTGTCTTTTCACCCCCACTTTTACACCTGCTCCTCCACCTTCCGCGCGCACACCTGCCTTTCACCCCCCACACACACACCTGCCTTTCCACCACCACGCACACACCTGCACCTCCACCTCAACCCCACACCTGCCTCTCCACCCTCATGCACACACCTGCCTCTCCACCCTCACACCCCACACACACACACACCCTGCCTCCCACCCCTCACACACACACCTCTCCCCTCCACACACACACCTACCCCTCTACCCCCCACACACATCACCTCTCCACCCCAACCCCACCTGCCTCTCCACCATTGGGTAACACACCTGCCCTTCTACCCACCCCACACCTGCCCCTCCCCCACCCCCAGACACACAACTGCCCCTCCTAACCTCCACACACACCTGCCTCTCCACCCCAGACACACACCTGCCCCTATACCCCCACACACACCTGCCCCTCCACTCCCAGACACACACACCTGCCTCTCCACCCCACAGGCACACACCTGCTTCTCTACCCCCCCCACACACACCTGCCTCTCCACCCACAGACAAACTATACCTTTTCTCTACCCCCCACACACCTGCCCATCCACCCTAGACACACACACACACACACCTGCCTCTCCACCCCCACCTGCCCTTCACCCTTCCCCACACGCACACATGCCCTCCCCACCCCCACCCTCCCCCACCTTCCCCCCCCCACCCACACACGTCCCCCGCCCCACACCAGTCCTCCACCACACAGACCCCAGGTCCTCCAGCACACACACACACACACACACACACACACACACACACACACAGCTCCACCACACACACACACACACACACACACACACCAGTCCACCTCCCCCCCCCCACACACACAGGTTCTGAGGTTAAAGCTACGAGGGGTACATACCAATGAGTTGCCTGGTGGCCTTCCTGGTAAGACTCTGGGGATTCAGCACGGTGAGGCCATCCATGGTGACCACATGTAACTGGACGCCAAGAGCCAACAGCGTCTCCCTCAGCTTCACGATCTTAGCTGCTGTACTCTGCTGGACACACACACACACACATCAGTTACAGCATTAATTACTTAGTTTTCAATGTTATGTTAGGTTATCATAAAATAATGTCTAGAATTTAACAGATAATCAATTAAATTATAGTAATCTTTTTTCGAGGATCCTGAATAAAAATACAGATTTTAAAATAATGGTTCACAACTAAACACGATACACGGTCATTAGTATTCTTAAAATGAACCAGATGGCTGCAGATATTTCTTAAAACAGCGTAAATATTGACTTTTCATAAATTTTACCGCATACTGTTGGTAATTCACACACGAAGTATAGTTAATAACATTATTTATAATACAAATAATGTCACAATGATGATGGTGAGGACATAGGTACAACGAGAGAGAGAGACTGACTCACTCTATCGTCAAGAAAACTGAGAGACATGATTACATCTCATTTGCTTCAGATAACGGACATAGAGAGAGGTCAGATGATAAGTGGTTAATGTGTGTGTGTGTGTAATACATTCTGAGACATGGTTAAGGCGTTCAGTGTGTGTGTAATACATTCTGAGATATGGTTAAGGCGTTCAGTGCGTGCGTGTGTGTGTGTGTGTGTGTGTGTGTGTGTGTGTGTGTAGGCGAGAGTAACATACGTACAGAAACACTACAGCGAGGATGGTCACAGTCGAACACCACGATGGACTTGAGTGCTCGCTCCGAGAAGTCAAGGGTGGCGGCGTTGAGGGCGGCGTCAAGGGGAGGCGTCCCATTATCCACCACCGTCTCAGCAACATCGTCGAAGGGTCCGTAAGGTGGTGAGCCTCGCCCTATGTACCTCACTACCACACGGTGATCCCTACACAGCGTGACAGCCCAGAGTAAACGATTCATTAATATACAAGTGAAACCTTTATTTAACGGACTATATTGAGTGAAAGTCCGTTATATAGAGGGCCCGTTAGATGAAACCCCCATCAAATAAACTATATAGAGATGAAAGTCGGTTATAGCGAGGGTCCGTTTGATGTGATACCGCCATCTATCGTATGATATAGAAAGAGAAGTCAGTTATAGGAGGATTTTACGGTCATTACGGACAGGAAAAAACTGAGTTTCCGGTAAGAAAAACAATAGTAAGGTAGATCATTTTTTAACCACTATCGTGACTGCGTCCAGGCAGATTAATGATGGTGTGTTTTTCTCAACAGTATTATAAAAGAAAAAATAAAAAAAAATAAACACATACGTACAAAGGAAGGGAGAAGAGAGAGAGAGAGAGAGACTCACTTGGCGTTGTCCTTGACGAGAGCGGAGATAAGGTCATGAAGATCCTGGAAACACTCGAAGTCTGTGATGATGACCACCTCCAGCGGCAGCCCCTCCGTCCCCTCCTCCTCCTCCCCCTCCTTCCCAGAACACGTCGCTGGGGGAAGACCATAGACATTGACAGAACGTGAAAGAGAGAATTAATAAGCTAGAATGCAATAGAGAGACATTATGAAATAGAATGGGAGGTTAGTGTGGTACTGTGGGCGTGTGGTAGAGGCTTAGATATGGGCGTGGAGGGTGTGGTAGAGGCTTAGAGATGGTTGTGGAGGGTGTGATAGAGGCTTGGAGATGGGCGTGGAGGGTGTGGTAGAGGTTTGGAGATGGGCGTGGAGGGTGTGTTGGTAGAGGCTTAGAGATGGTTGTGGAGGGTGTGGTAGAGAGCTTAAATGGGCGTGGAGTGTGGTAGGGCTTAGAGATGGTTGTGAGGTGTGAGCCACAGAGCTTAGAGATGGGCGTGGGTGTGTGAAGGCTTAGAGATGGTTGTGGAGGGTGTAGTGCAAGGGCTTGGAGATGGGCATGGAAGATTGTGGTAGAGGCTTAGAGATGGTTGTGGAGGTGTGGTAGGGGCTTGGAGATGGGCGTGGAGGGTGGTAGGGCTTAGAGATGGTTGTGGAGGGGTGTGTGGGGAGGCTTGGAGATGGGCGTGGAGGGTGTGGTGAGAGCACAGATGGTTGTGGAGGGTGGTAGAGCAGGATGGGCGTGGAGGGGTGTGGTAGAGGGCAGAGATGGTTGTGGAGGGGTGTGGTAGGGAGCTTGGAGATGGGCGTGGAGCAGGAACTGTGGTAGGGCTTAGAATGGTTGTGGAGGGTGTGGTAGAGGGCTTGGAGATGGGCGTGGAGGGGTGTGGTAGAGGCTTAGAGATGGTTGTGGGGGTTATGGTGGGGCAGGATGGGCGTGGAGGGTGTGGTGGGGGCTGGGGTGGTTGTGCTGGGGTGTGGTAGGGGGCTTGAGATGGGCGTGGAGACAGGCTGAGATGGTTTGGAGGGTGTGGTAGAGCAGGATGGTTGTGGAGGTGTGGTAGAGGCTTGGAGATGGGCGTGGAGGGTGTGGTGGGGAAGCGCGGAATGGGCTGGAGGTGTGTTGGTATGAAGGTTGGTGTGGAGGTCGTGGTAGTGGCGGCGGCAGGAGTGGAGGTAGGCGGCCTCAGCGGCACACTCCCACCCAGCACGGCAGGTCTCCAGGTAAGGTGCTGCCGCCACACTCGGGAAACATGACCTACAGCAGAGCACAGAGATATTCACCCTTATATTACCATCATAGTAGAAAACACACACACACACACTGCTTTCTATTGGCTAACAAAATCTTTAGTATAGTGTTGTCCATTGGCTAACTTTACACATAATTTATTACCAGATCGAGTACGGCGATAATTAATGTGGAATCAATTACATTCAATAAACATTTAGAAGAAGTGTAGAGAGACAACACCTGAAGGGGGAGGTCGAGGCGTGGAAGATGTCGGTGCAGTAGTGGCCGTGGGAGGCGGGGATGTGGGACTCCGGCAGTTGAGAGGAACACTGCTCTGACGACGACACCCGCCAGCTCCGAGCCCACTCTTCCTCCGTCGCCGCCTGAACGGTACATCAGACATGAGGCAAAAGGTGATTGAATTATGTTTTAGGAACCTTTCAGTTATATCTAAATTGAGTGGAATAACTGCATCTCAGATTTGTAATTAATTTATCGTACACTGATATTTCTCAAGATAATTTCAGAATCTTACTCATTCATTTAATTTAATACTTCCCCCAAAAAGGTTACTGGTACAGGTACATATTTACGTGGTGATTACTACACGGTAACACATAAGTTATGACTGACTCAACCTATAAACAACCAGACATATAATAATACACAACACAATCATAATCTGTAAACATTAACATGGCTAAACACCGTCTTTTAACAAGGAGCTCCTTCAGGGGGCGACAAAAGAACCTCGGTTATACTGTATACCAACCTACAACAACACCACCACCACCACCACCACCACCACCAACACCACCAACACCACCACCACCACCACCAACACCACCAACACCACCAACAACAACAACATAGGACGAGCTGCCTCCAACCACAACCAAAGACGAAGAATGGTTCACACATCAACGGTCGATACTGCAGAAGCTGATTGTGTTTACCAGCGCTGTGTGGCCCTGTACTGGTAAGTGATTATGCCTGTGTACTCGTTTGTCTGGGCAAGTGCAAGTTAAATTTTGTTGTGAGAAATGAATAGGAATTATTTTGAACGTCATTCCTCATACGCTGTTGCCATTCTTCATCATCATACGGAGTCGACGAGATTCGAGATGATCTTACTAATATTGTTGAAACATTTATATTAGCAACCGAGTACAAATCCAACAATACGATTAGAAACTCTCAATATTACAAAATAAGGCCACAGATGTTTTATGAACAAAGGAATTTTTTTTATATAAATAGAATCCAAGACACCATCTCTGACCACCATCTCAAGAAAGTAACAAGTTTACATAATACTGTACATTCAGAGACTCGTCCTGTACTGACCACATCCCAGCCGCTGGTCATGAAGTCGGTGTAGTTGTCGAAGTCAAAGACGCCGAGGAGTCCGGCGGTGGCAGCGAAGTGGTCACCAGATACTGCTAGGCGACACAAGCCCTGTTGATGCTCACACTCCAGGCTGAGGCCCACGTCTGAGGTGATGCTCGCCCGCCCCTGCCACAACCTCAGCTGTAGCTCACCCACCTCCAGCAGCGGCCGACGGATGTGCTTCCAATTGTACGTCATCTGTGGATGTACCAAGAGTGTTAGGACGCCAGCAGCTGACACTTTAACACATATCTGTCAGTAAGTTTCTCTAATACAGTTTGTGGGTTGAAAGTGTCACATTACACATGTTGTAAACTTATGTTGAGATTTAACACTTATTAGGAAATGCTTTTTTGAGTATAAACTTTCCTATTCTATTTATTAATCAAGAGTGATGACATACAGTACAGTGCAGAGGTCACACTCCAGCATGTGACTGTTTAACCCGGTGTGGTGGTGGTCACGTGGTGCTGCACTATACCTAGATAAGAGCTTATTGTTTTAGTTCACAGACTCTACTTGCAAGGCGATCTGGTCATTGTCTTCACCGTGTATATGTCTACCTTATCAATTAACCCAATTACAGTTCAGTGCAGGTGAACTCTGGCACACGGGGTGAGTGTTTTGGGTGAACTCTGGCACACGGGGTGAGTGTTTTGGGTGAACTCTGGCACACGGGGTGAGTGTTTTGGGTGAACTCTGGCACACGGGGTGAGTGTTTGACGTTGAACCTCTGGAACACGGGGTGAGTGTTTTGGGTGAACTCTGGAACACGGGGTGAGTGTTTTGGGTGAACTCTGGAACACGGGGTGAGTGTTTTGGGTGAACTCTGGAACACGGGGTGAGTGTTTTGGGTGAACTCTGGAACACGGGGGGAGTGTTTTGGCAGTAATGTTAAGTTGAGGTCGGGTGTCATGCATACAGTGATGAAAGTGATAAACCTTTAGATCCGAGTCGATGGTGACAACGTCTGTACCGCTGAAGAAGGTAAGGACCTCTCGAGGGTGGGTACTGAGGTCTTCCATGTGGATAGTGACGGCGGTGGGGATGCGGGCGTGTATCAGCAGCACCAGCAGGTGATGGCACGAGTCCGTCAGTAGAGGAGTTACCTGGCGCCCGTCCCAGGTGATGGCCTGCTCCCACCCGAACACCACCGCCTCCCCTGCAACGTTGAATTGTAACAGAATTGAATTGTAACAGTTTATTTAGCCAGGAAAATACAGATACAGAGTGGATAATAATAACAATATTAACATGGCTGAGCCAGTTGAGAACCTGTGCTCTCTTTGAGGCACCTGATATATACTATACATTTATCTCAAGGAAGTATTATGTTACATCCCTCGCCCCTGGTCTACAGATGTAACTTACTCATTAAACCACACAACAGTACAGGTCAGCAGGAGCTCCGTCCTCAGAGACAACCTGTCACACCAATAGTTTACTCATCCAGAATGAACAAACAAACATCTCCGTGTTTGGGAAGGTATCTAATGAAGGCTACAATAACATCAACAGAAGCTCCTAACTTTAGTTCATAATTTGAGGTGACCAGGAAGGTTAACAGACTCACAAATATACAGAACTGACATATTTCTATAGTTCGTAGAATATCTACATTAAACTTTACCGCGGACATGCCAAGTAAGTAAGTATCGGAATCTTGACCAATGAGTGATGAACCAAGACTCAGTCTCCGTCAGTAGCCGCAGTCCCCCCTCCTCCAGGAACCACTTCCCCGCCACTCTCAAGTCTCTCCCCAGTCGTCGGGGCATCGCAACCTGCCTCACCACACAACAACAAAAACTGAACACAATAGAATAATCACAACAGAATGCATATAAAGGATTAAAAGCTACACATGAGACACTGTTACACTCAAGGTCTTCTCTATGATCTACGTTTTGTTGAGGATATTTTTAAGGGAAAAACCATTTTGATAGATAGATAGAAATATAGATTGATAGATATTTATTCATTCAGTAAAATCGCCATACAAGCTTATATTGATTGTATAGACAATGCAGGCATACAGTTCAGCATGAATATAGACAATGTAGGTATACCGTGCAGCATGAATACATACATTGTAGGTACACAATGTGAATAAACCTTGGAGATAAGCAAACAATGTACCTAGACAGCGCAGGGATACAAACAATAGTAAACAGTGAGAATATTCGGCCAAGGGTTGCCAACAAAGCTTTAGTTATCATTATATCTTCATCTCATCCAAACTGTGGAGGTGGGTTAGTACTGACCCTGAGTCTTAGGGCGGTGGCGTGTGGCATGACGAAGCTGATGGTGGTGATGTTACGCGCGTGATGCAGGAGTTCACTGCCCCGTGCCCGTAACTCATCCCAGCGAGCAGTCCTCACCAACACCTGCCAACACAAGGATCTGATAGTCTTACTGTTGTCATTAATGCATATTTATATAAAACGTGAAAACCAATTTCTCTTATGACTTTCCCCGTAAATATGTAATCTCTATACGTCATCCTGCGAGCATTGAGGAAACTACGACCACATCTCCAAGAGTATGAGTACCCCACCAGTACAACCACAGGTGCACCAGTAGAATAAGTGCCTCACCACCAGTTTGACTGCTACTCACCCTCTCGAGTCTGGTGAGGAGCTGGGTGACGAAGAAGCCGGAGATGCCGTGTCGACGACCCACCCTCTTCCTCACGTCTCCCATGATCCGCGACACCAGGGCGTACAGACTCTGAAGGTGAAGGGGAGGGATGAAGGACCAGCCACACACACACCAACATCAGTCAGTGGGGTGGTGCTTAAAGAACTCTGTGGACTAAACAATAAGACACACCTCCCTCCTCCTTAGCCATCTCACTAATGTTGACGCAGCTGAGCAAACAAATAACCATTTCGCTACTATATGCCAGACGCTCCCCGGCTTGACACAACCACTCTCCCTGCTTACCCCTTTTCACTGACTTAGTAGAAGAATTTGAAGTATCAAAACGTTTGGAAAACTGAAGTTAAAGTGCTCCACCACCCTATTGACTTACCAATGAAACTCTTCAAGGAGTTCTCCTGAGCTGCTAACCCCTACTCCATCAACAATGCTTCCCTCAGTCAAGCCAGGTGCAGCTGACTGGAAGACTTCATATGTGTCACCAGTGCCCAAGTCAACCAGCCCACAACCCTTAAATCAGCTACGACCCATTGCACTACCCCAATACCCAGCTGTATGTGAAAGTTTTGTGTTTGACTGGGCTTATGCTGATATTGCAGGAGCCGTAGATCCTCAGCAATTTGGTAATGTGAAACTTCCTCCACCACTCACTGTCTTGTCAGCTTTTCACTATTATACCGCCATCTGGAGAAATGGAAAACGTCTGTAGCTGTCGCCTTCATTGACTTCACTAAGGCATTCGACCTAGTCGACCACAATTTAATCATCAACAAAGCTATCGACCCGGGTTTCGAAGAAGTCTTATACCATAGCCTACAGACTTCCTCAGTAACCGACGCCGTTGTACGCTTCCGAGGGGCTGTCTCCACCTTTCAGTCACTCACCTGTGGCGTCCCCACGGCACCAAAATCTAGCTTACTTATGCTTATCAATGATGCCCAAGAGAAACCCCTGCTCGTTGGAAATATGTCGACGACTCCACCATTGGGATCAGTGTCAACAATTCTGCTCCCGACTATACCGCCCTTCAGGATTTATTGAACAGTCTCCAAAACTGGGCCACCAACAACCGTCACCATCAACCATACCAAGACCATGGTTATGCACATCAACCTCTCCGCGACGTTGTCCCACCCCCTTCCATTACTTTAGGTCCCAACACACTCCAGGTTGTAGATTCCACTAAGCTCCTCGGCATCACCATAGACAACAAACTAAATTGGAAACCACACATCAGTGAAGTTGTCAAATCCTCCAGTTTCTGTCTCCACCTCCTCCGCCGACTCAAGTCCCTCGGAGGTCCTGCCCCCGAGCTCCTCAGTGTTTATTCAACATTCATACTTCCCAAGCTCACCTATGACTCCCCTACCTGGTCTACCTCCCTAAATGCCACACAACGTAACACCTTGAAAAAGTGCAAAAGAGGGCAAGCAAGAGACCTTCCTACTCCACATATCAAGAAGTGCTCAACACAATGACCCTCTAGGCTCTCACTGACCATCACCACGACCTCATCTGCAAATTTGGTGAGAAGCTTTTCCACCATCCTCGACGCCGGCTCCTACTACCACCCGAGATCCCTCGTCCGAGAATTGCTGTTCGACACCACAACCGCATCCAGCCCATACGAGCACGAACTGATCACTATAAGAACAGCCCAGTCCCAACCATTGTAAAAATTATCAATAACTTGTAATCAACCAGTGTATTCACTCCCAGTCAATCTTACATTTTGCACTGTCACTATGTTGAAATGCCCTGTAGTTTGAGCTCCTCCCCACCTAGTTATTATTTATTATATTTGTATCACTTATGTTACTTGTATATTATTTGTCAATCAAGAGACCCATTCCACTATGTAACTGCATATTTTCAGCCTTCCGGCTGCCATGCTCTTTCAATAAACCGTTAATTATTATTATTTATTATTAATAACTTACTTCTGACTTAACAATGATCTGCTACAACAATAACCTAACCTAACCTCACAAAACAAATAAATTTTATTTCCTTCAATATCATCAAAACCTTTATATTTGATGCTTATTTTTTTAATAATTTTGATGGACGAACAAGAATAGTACAAGGAGACGGATACATTCACTGTTTCACTCAACCTAACCTGATCTGACCTGACCTGAGCTAACCTGACTTAACCTAACCTAGCTATAACTGGAGGACTTATAATAGCTGTTAGGCTTGTGCTTATGCGGGAAGAAGCAAGATATCATGATGGTACGAGAGAGAGAGAGAGAGAGAGTGTGGTAAGACCTGGTCGTCATTGTAGGAGAGAGCGTTGAAGGCTGCTTGGAGGCGGAGTAGTGGTGGTCCCAGTGTGTTGATGAGCGTCTCCATCACTCCTTCCACCACCTCCGTCACATCCTCTTCCATCGTGTCTGGACTCACAGAAAAAACAATATTATCATGTGCCACTGATAACAATGCCTGCCTCGTTCGGGAATGAATATCCCATGAGATTTTCATTTCACTGACGAACAAACGAATGGACACGAGGCTTTATTCCACTGTCATATAACCAATAGTAGAAGATAAATAAAATTAACAACAAAAGAATGGGAAAGAAAAAAAAATAATAATGAAGGTTGTGTGAGGTGTGGAAGATGTTTGGGGTGGGGAAGATTTTGTTGAGAATGAATGAAGGTTTACCAGTGTTGTATTTATTTACCTGTAGAGCAAGAATGACGTGTTGCAAGACTAACTACAGCATACGGTAAGAGAGGCGGTGTTACGTGAAAGGACCTGGTAGATAATGAATGATGAAATGTGTTGCAACTTGCATGGATATACGTAAGGGGTGGCTGCCAGATAATGAATGATGAAATGTGTTGCAACTTGCATGACTAATATGATACGTTAAGAGTGGTAGGTGTTGCATGAAAGGACCTGGTACTGACATCTTAACATCCTACCATAAGCTCCGGTGACTTCCTCGACGATGTTTTGCACGAGGTCATCCACAGCTTCAATGGCTTCCTCGAGAGAGTTATAGACTGCACCAAGGGCGTCGTCCAGCGCCTCCACACACACCTCCAGGAGAGGGTCCAGGTGTTCCCTCATGACGTTGCCAGATACCTCCAGCAGCTCCCCCACGTCGACAGGACCTTCCTCCATCACCTTGACCATCCTGCACACGTTAAATAACAACTTAGCTGTTCACATGTAACCTCTAACACTAGTAATTGTGGGAGCTATGTGGACATTTCTTCACCTCACTACAGAACACTATTTATGTATCACAGTTTGTTATCGTCAGTTTGTTTACTACTGTGGTAAAGACCTACTGTACACCTTTAACTCTTTATGACAGAGTTTGAGTTATTGAACACATCTGGGCCGGAGGATAGCTAGTGTGCATGGAAATTTTTTTAAACAATATTAAAACAAATATCTCAATGAAAATGACTTGTGGAATACTTACATGACGAGCCCCTGTAAACGCACTTGTAGAGGAACTGTGCAGATGATGTGTGTAGGCCCGGAGGGAACACACTGTGTAGAGGTCTGAAGGGTAACTCAGTGTATGGAATAGGTTACATGTGTGGTGGTCGTAATATAGAGGAAAGATGTTTGTAACTTACATGTACGTGGAGGCGGAGGTGGTGAGGTGCAGAGCCTCATGCAAGAGTTGTTGAGTGTCGTTGAGCAGAGGCCAGAGACCCAGGGCGCCCTCCACCCTCACCCTGGTGGAGCTCAGCCCTCGCACGGCTCCTGCCAGGGACGTCCACCGGGAGTTGAACTCGTCCTGGGGAGAGTAAGTCCAAAATGGTGTGAATATGAACTCAACTTAAGATCGTGTTCGATGAATTATACTGTATATTTATATTTTATTGTCATAGATGTCACAGTAATCCTTCGCGTCTCAGTGGAAAATTTATGCTCATTTACGTAACTTACTTTAGATACTTATGGTCAGTATAACATTATCAAAGACTTCTTTTATAAATAAATATGTTGGATGATCATTACGAGGTACTGAAACCTGTATAAATGACAATGGTATCAAGTTTGTTTGGTGCTAAAATTTGCAACATAGAAAGTTATTTACTAAAGGAATGCGATGAGAGGAAGAAGAAAGAAGGAAACTAAAAAGAAGAGAAAAAATAAGGAGGAGGCGGAGGAGAGCCGCCAGGCAGTGTCACACAGCCTGGGCGTGTATAGTTAAGGTGTGGGGAGCATTAGGTGCACCTTGAATTGGGCGAGGGAGCGTGTCTGCCAGTCGGAGGACTCCATCACCTCATCCTCCACGTCGGCGGTGAGTGTTAGCGCCGGGGGCGTGTCTAGAGGCCGGAGACGCCCGCTGCCCACCTGCGCGCCCACGCCTCCTGGCCCGGAGATTTGCCCCAGACGGAGGTACGGCCCCTCGTGTTCCTCTGTGGGCAGATGGTTACTGTTAGACATGACCAAGGTGTGTGATGTGTCGACTGTGCTTATAAATTTTTGCAGGTGTAGCGGCCAACAGCGCTCGCCTTCTGGTTCGCGTCCAGGGTGTCCCCATCCCACCTAGCAGTGACTGAGTGCCCAATGTTGAGGTTACGGAAATGAAGGTGGTCGAGTGCTGCTGGTAACACTGTCAGTCAACCAGTCAGTCATTCAGCTAATCAGTCAGCCAGTAAGGCATTCAGTCTGTCAATTAGTTAAGATTGGCAGTGACAACGGTGACAAACGCAGGTACAACAGCGACGGAGGGAGTGAGTGAGTGAGTGAGTGAGTCAGTCAGTCAGTCAGTCCATCCGTAAGTCAAGCAGTCGGTCAATCACTTAGTCAATCAACCAGTCACTTATTCACTCAGTTAGTTAATCAATCATTCAGTCTTTTGGTCAGTCAGTCAGTTAGTCAGTCAGTCAGTCGACCGTTCATTCAATCAGCCAATAAATCAGTCATTCATTCAGTCTGTCAGTCAATCAGCCAGTCAACCATTCATCCAGTCAGCCAATCAATCTGTCATTCAGACAGTCAGTCAGTCAATCAATCAGTCAGTCAGTCAGTCAGTCAATCAATCAGTCAATCATTCATTCAGTCAGTCAATCAACCAGTCAAGCATTCATTTAGTCAGTTAACCAGTCAATCATTCATTCAGTCAGTTAACCAGTCAATCAATCATTCAGTCAGTCAATCAACCAGTCATCCATTCAGTCAGCCAATCAGTCAAGCATTCATTTAGTCAGTTAACCAGTCAATCACTCCTTCAGTCAGTCAATCAACCAATCATTCAGTCGGTCAGTCAATCAATCAGTCAATCATTCATTCAGTCAATCAGTCAACAAGTCTATCATTCCTTCAGCCAGTCAATCAACCAGTCACCCTCAAGGTTGGTAGTCACAGCGGCGGCAGACACAAGGGGGTAGTGTGTATCGCATTACTTACCTACGCCGAGTACCTGCAGGGTGAGCTCTGGGCTGGGTGCTGGGCATATCATTA